GACTGGCCCCAAGGGCTGACAGAAATAAACGAGATACCCGAATTGAGAAAGAACGTTTGCCTAACCACGAACATCGACGATTGTAGTATTCTCCGCAAGTATTTGTCATATGCGAAGACAGTACGCATCGTGGCTCTATGCCTGCGTTTTCGACCGGGAAACATGTATCGGGGGGAATTATGCATAAAAGAATTAGACGAGGCGGAAATACGTGTCATGAAAATCATTCAAGCATCGTGTTTTGCATGCGAATTAAACGAACTAACAAAAAAGCAAGCGATAAAGAAGAGCAATATCGCGGCATTAAACCCATTCATTGACAGTAACGGTCTAATTCGTGTCGGTGGGCGCCTTAAAAACTCGGAATTGACGTTCTCTCGGAAGCACCCGATTTTAATCCCTAATCGTCATTTTCTCACGGATCTCATTATCCGGGAAACTCACGAAAGATACCATCACACCGGTATTCAAACGACTCTCTATAATATCAGACAGAAATTTTGGATTCTCGACGGTCGAAATCAAGTGCGCAAAATAGTGCGGTCGTGCATGCGCTGCTTCCGATTTAGTGCCGATACGGTCAAATATAAAATGGGTGATTTACCTAAAGTGCGAGTACGCGACGCACTCCCATTCGCAAACACGGGTATCGATTTTTGCGGGCCATTTTTCATCAAAAAGAAAAAATACAGAAATAGAAACAGAATTAAGGTTTACGTCTGCGTATTCGTATGCATGGCCATAAAGGCGGTTCATCTAGAAGTAGTGAGCGATCTCACCACTGAAGGATTTATCGCCGCGCTTCGACGTTTCACATCTAGACGAGGTATCCCGACACATATTTATTCCGACAACGGGACAAATTTCATCGGAGCAAATAATCAGCTAAGAGCCTTATACGTACTCCTTAATTCTGACGAACATAAAACCCAGATAAATCAGTTCGCCATTAAACATCGTATCACATGGCATTTCATACCGCCTATCGCTCCTCATTTCGGGGGACTATGGGAGTCCACCGTGAAATTGTTTAAACACCATTTCAAACGGGTAATCGGAGAACTTTTATTCACGTTCGAGGAGTTGAATACGTTCGTAATCGAAGTCGAAGGGATTCTAAATTCAAGGCCTATCTCCCCTCTTTCATCCGATCCAAACGATCCTTTAGCGTTGACACCCGCTCATTGCTTGATCGGCAGACCTCTGATTAATATGCCTGAGTCGGACCTTTCATCTGTCCCAGCTAACCGTCTCTACTTGGGAGCACATTACCAAAGTACGTCAAGATTTCTGGTCTCGCTGGAGTTTAGAATACCTCAACGAGCTGCAAGTCCGCCACAAATGGACCAAAGATGGAGATAAAATCGACACCGGCGCAATCGTACTTATCAAGGACAAGGGTCTTCCGTGTATGCAGTGGCCGCTAGGCAAGGTCATTGAGACCCATCTTGGCGCAGACGGAACCCCTCGAACCGTCACCGTCAGAACGGCCACGGGAGAATTCAAGCGATCCGTGAAGTGCATATGTCCGCTTCCTACTGACTCATAAATATTGTACAACAATTGATTTTACGAAGCCGAGTCTTACAATTTTACGAGCCGATGCGAATAAATTATCGCGACCGATAAGTGAATCACGATGTAGTTGATCGTACTCCTCTCAACGGGGGGAGTATGTTGCGACGGTAAAGCATGCATGACGGTGGGCCCACTACGTTTCGACGAAGCGACGACAAGCTCGTACAAGTTTCAACTTGTACGCGACGCGACGATTGGCTTCATATGATCCGCGCCTATTGGTTCGCCGTAGCTCGCGGTATTGATATATAA